CATCATTGTGGAACTAGTGTTACTTTCGGGAGAAACTACAGTCCTAGATAAGCAGTGGTTGTAGGATGGCGTTTTCAGGAGGGTCACTCAGCCTGATGAGGATGGGGCCCTTTAACGTGACAGCAGTGTGAGCCCACGTCTTAGGGGGGCAATAACTGCCCCTCCCTCCTCAGGCTGCTCCACTGGACCCAGTGCAAGTGAACAACTAGTGGTCTGAGTGGCCTGAGTGTCCCAACATTTGGCCCTACAGGCTGAGCGCAGAGATGTGGTGAGATGGGCGAGGGACATCAGGTAGGGGTGGCCTGGGGGCTGGGCTGAGAGATGGCTCCAGGCAGCAGTGTTCTGGAGCTGGTGCGATCCATATGCCAGGTGAAAGACATTGATTCATTTTGAAGAGTGAGGAAACAGGAAAAGCAAGTCCAATAACTTGTTCATGGTCACACAGCTAAGTAAAAGGGTCGGTAGGAACTTGACCCCATAAAGTCTCTGCCGGGGAAATACAGGGGTCCCCAGGTAAAAAGAGGATTGAGCAGCCGTGAGGGAAAAGGGGTCCAAGATTCACATCTCATTCACTGGGAACCCTCCTGTGGGGTCTTTGTCCCCTCTTCTCTCCATGGGCAAAGACCGGAGAACCCCAGATGTCAGGGATCCTTTTGTCCAGACTCCAATGTAAACAATCAAATCCAGGTTATTTAAAAAGCTGATGGTCTCTGCAGTGCTTTAAATCACCCGCCAAGAAACGGGTCCTATCAGGGCCTGGTGGGGATTGACTCTTACATCTGAACAATTGGAACCTTGGGTTTAAAACTGAAAGTCTCAACTCCAGTGGCAGAGAAAAGACCAATCTTATAGTACTTTGGGGTTATTATTACTACCTTTAAAAAACCAAAAACCCGTTGCTGATTTCCACTCATAGCAACCCTACAGGACAGTAGAACTGCCCCACAGGGTTTCCAAGGAGCAGCTGCCGGATTCTAACTGCTTTTTTGTGAGCAGCTGAGCTCTTAAGCACTGCATCACCAGGGCTCCACTGATATATTCAGGCATCCCAAAACAGAGATTTAAAAACTCTCAGTGTCTCCCTCTTTGTGCCCTCTAGACACTCCATGTGAAAAACACCTGCTTACACACAGAAGGATTTAAGAAGGGTTAGGACGATCATCATCATTTAATGGAGCCACTCAGAACTGCAGATCTGTGGCTGAGAAATCTCAACCCCTTCTGTCTGTGCCTCTCACAGAAACTTTATTAGCTGCCCATTAGGCTCCACCTCATGGAGATCCTATGTATAACAGAGTGAAAATTTGCTTGGTCCTGTGCCATCTTTGTGATCACTGGCATGTTTGATTCCTATTGCGGCAATATCCTGTTCTGATCCATAAGCATATCATTGGCTAAGCTTCAGAAATAGATTGCCAGGCATTTCTTCCTAGTCTGTCTTACTCGAGAACCCCTGCTGAAACTTGTCCACCTGGGTGACTCTGCTGGTATTTGAAATACTGGTGGCATAGCTTCCAACCATCACAGCAACATGTAAGCCACCACAGTACAACAAAGGGACAGATGGATATGGGGTCAAAGAGACTAAACCAAAACCAAAACCAAACCCATTGCCATTGATTCGATACTGACTCATAGGGACCCTAAAGGGCAGAGCAGAACGGCTTCATAGTTTTCAAGGCTGTAAATCTTTACAAAAGCAGACTGCGACATCTTTCTCCCACACAGCAGCTGGTGAGTTCCAACCACCAATGCTTCAGTTAGCAGCTGAGTGCTTTAACCACTTGGCTACCAGGGTTCCTTCACAGACTAGGCCCCATGAAATACTTGTCCATAAATAGAAGGGCCTTAAAGTGCTAGGAATTGTATCACTGATATTAAACATTTGAACCATATGTTTAAAAGTGAAAATTTTCCATCTATATACAAAAAGAAAAACTAAAGACTTTAAGGGGTTTGGTTCTTCACCACTTGAGCACTGCCTAACAAGGTACTGTTAGGTAAACTATTGGGATATTTACACATGGTTATTGGCCAAGGAAGGAGCCCCAGTGGTGTAGTGATTAAGTGCTCTGCTGCTAACTGAAAGGCCAGTGGTTAAAACCCACCTAATGCTACAGGAGAAAAGACCTGGAGATCTGTTCCCGTGAAGATTACAGCCTAGGAAACCCTATGGTGCAGTTCTACTCTATCCTATATGGTCAGAGTTGGAATGGACTCAACAGCACACAACATTGACCAAGGACGTTCTGAGACAGAAGGCACCCACCAGCCCTCCTAAGCTCTACCACACACATGCACAGCCTTTACCAAGCTCTACCGAACATGTGCAAAGCCTTTGCCAACGCCTATGCCTTGGCCTGCTCTATACTATGAACTTAAATTGATATCAAGTATATACTGTTAAGTGGGAAAAAGTACATTTATGTGAAGAAAACATGATAAATAACCAATATACATTCATGTATGTATGCATTCTGGAAAAGGGATATTTCTGAGAAACACAAAGGTTACACAGAAAATAAAATGGAAATAGCAATTGGTGGTGATATTAACAGAACACAGGTAGTACAGAAGGAAGTCAGGCTTCTGAATAAATCTTTTCATATAGTTTTTAGTTTTGAACCATGTGAAAGTTTTATATGTTAAAGGAATAATTCAAAATGAAAACAAACCTTAAAATTAAATGTACACAGAAACAAGTAAACATAGTAACATATCAAACTGCCACTGCTCATCTGTGAGTCTGACATACTGAGGTGGCTGGCATGTTGCTGACGCAGGAAGCAATACCACCAGTATTTTAAATACCAGCAGGGTCACCCATGGTGGAGGGCATTAGTGGAGCCTACAAGCTTCAACAGCCTAGGAAGAAAGAACTGGAAATCTACTTTAGAAAATCAATGAAAACCCTATGGATCATAACAGAACACTGATATAGTGCTGAAAGATGAGCCCACTGGGTTGGAAGACACTACTCAAACATACCAATGATCATGAAGATGGTGCAGAACTGGGCAACATTTTGTTCTGTTACGCAGGAGGTCAAGGAGCCCTGGAGCTGCAATGGTTGAGCAATTGGTTACTGAACAAATGGTTGACAGTTCAAACTCATCTAGCAGCTCCACAGGAGAAAGACCTGGCAATCTGCTTCTGTAAAGATTATAGTCAAGGAAACCCTACGGGGCAATTCTACTCTGTCACATGGAGTCACTATGAATTGGAATCAACTCCATGACACACAACAACATCAGGTCATCATGAGCTGGGGCCAACTTGATGGTAGCAAACAAGATAAAACTGATCATATAACCATGCACAAGTTTGTGCTCAAGCCAATGTTTAAGCACGGTAATCTTGTGTTAATATCCTTAATGTAACTGTATAACCAATAAGTACAAAAACAAAGGCGAAAAAATTCAGTACTTACGAAATAAATTTTTAGTCAGTAGTACTATTAGCATTACAACATTGAAACTATTTGAATATTACTAGGAACGAAGGTTTTTATTAAGAGATGGAAATATAAAATAACAGAAATTGACAAGATTTGCCCATTTACATTCATCCCATAAATGTTCCTTGCTTCAGCCTAATAAATCAGCCTTGAGCAAACATTTATGAAAACCATTAGAAATCTTGCTTAAAATCCAACTTCCTGCCATATTTCTGGTTGCCAACTTGAAAATAGTAAATTTCCAGTGCCCCATGACACCCAGAACTCATAAAAAACTCTTTCCTCACCTTACCCTTTGGAGCCGAACTCAAACTTACGCTGAGGTCTTTTTCCTGCTGCAACAGAGTGAGCAAAGTCTAGTTTGCCTATTTAACATTGTCTGGCACCATTTACTGTACATACATAAACAAAAAATTGTCTTAGAAATAAGAATATGAGTTTACAATATAAGAAATTACGTATTTTACATGCTCACTGAAAGGCCAAGACAAAATTGACTCAATGATAACAGGTTTGGGGTTTATCACCAAGCCCATGTATTGCACACACCTTGGTTTTTAAATGGAAACAGAGGTTTCGGGAGAAAGGGTTGATTCCAGATCTGGAACAGGAACGTACAAAGTGATCAGGGACTTCTTTTGCATTCAAACACTAATAGGGTTGTGTCAACAATCTATGTGGTTGGTGCAACTAAGAAACTGAAAAACTTTAACTTTTATTAATTTAAATATAACAATAAACTTGATTCAATTATTGGAAAAGTATGCTTGGAGTAACCTGGGATTGTGAATCTACTTTTCAACAATAAGATTTCTGAAACATGCTGCTTTTGGATTCTGGAAGACAGAGTAAAAAGAAGGAAATGTAAAATGTCTCATAAATATATATCAATTAGTTAATGTCATTTATAATTTTTATGTTGACTATAAATGGACATATGGGGTTAACTAAGATTTTTCCATTCAAAATTTCTAATTTACATTTTTCAATGTCTAATATGGCTACTAAAATATTTTAAATTACATCTTTGACTTGCATTACATTTCTATTAGAATTGTGCAAGACCCAACGTCTACCTTACAAAAAATATAGAAGATAAACTGAAAAAAAACCGTAACAAAACAAAAACAGTAAAACCTGTGAGAGCCGGAATGGGATGGGAGTGACTTGTTTTACCAGCTCTTGCATGTTTTCCACCTTTGGGTGCTTGCCACTTTTGTTTTGCTCTCTATTAAGAATCCTACACCATAAACACTCAGTGAGTTTTTCTTCTCTGACATGTTTCTGACTTACACAGCTGCCAGTTGTCACAAGTTTGACTATCAGAATGCTGAACATTTTAACATTTTACAAGACAAGCAGTAAGAATGTTCTGTGTAAGACAGATTAAACAGATCTAGAAATAAAAAGGTAATGTGGAAATATGATTTGGATCCTAACTTCAAAAAACCCAACAACCGTAAGAGAATTTAACAGACAATTGGAGAAATTTTCATTTGTTGTGAGGGACAATGAAGATCTGGGTTGTTCTGGCAGGAAACTGACCTTATTTTTAGGGGCTTAAAGGGTGAAGTGAATGTCAGCAATTAACCATTGCTTGTTCCATCATAATAATTCATCTACATGGACAAACTTCTTACATTTAGAAAGCCTCTCTAAGCCATGAGTTTTTATATGATTAGTGAGGTTTAAGGAATCACAACAGAATCTCCCACATTCCATATATTCAAAATGTTTCTCTCCAGGGTGATTTCTTATGTATTCAGTGACGGATGAGGAATAACTAAATGCTTTCCCTCATTCTTTACATTCAGTTTCTCCCACTGTGAGGTTATTTACATTCAGTAAGCACTGAAGACTGACTAAAGGATTTCCCACATTCCTTACTAAAGGCCTCTCTCCACTGTGAATTCTTACATGTGTAGTGAGGTGTGAGGACTGACGAAAGGCTTTGCTGCATTTCTTACACTCATAAGGCCTCTCATTACTGTGAGTTCTCATATGTTTAGTGAGGCCTGAGGAATGACAAAAGGCTTTGTCACATTCCATACATTTGTAAGGTCTTTCTCCACAGTGAGTTCTAATATGTGCAGCGAGGTTTGAGGACTGACTAAAGGCTTTGCCACATTCCTTACATTCGTAAGGCCTCTCACCACTGTGGGTTTTTATATGTGAAGTGAGATATGAGGACCGACTAAAGGCTTTGCCACATTCCTTACATTCATAAGGCCTCTCACCACTGTGAGTTCTTACATGTGAAGTGAGGTGTGAGGACTGACTAAAGGTTTTGCCACATTCCTTACATTTATATGGTCTTTCTCCACAGTGAGTTCTAATATGTGCAGTGAGGCTTGAGGACTGACTAAATGCTTTGCCACATTCCTTACATACATAAGGCCTCTCTCCACTGTGAGTTCTTATATGTGAAGTGAGGTATGAAGACTGACTAAAAGCTTTGCCACATTCCTTACATTCATAGGGCCTCTCACCACTGTGAGTTCTTACATGTGAAGTGAGGTGTGAGGACTGACTAAAGGCTTTGCCACATTCCTTACATTCATAAGGCCTCTCACCACTGTGAGTTCTGGTATGTACAGTGAGGTCTGAGGAGAAACAAAAGGCTTTGCCGCATTCCATACATTCATAAGGTCTCTCTCCACAGTGACTTCTCATATGTGCACATAAGTTTGAGGACCGACTAAAGGCTTTGCCACATTCCTTACATTTGTAAGGTCTGTCTCCACTGTGAATTCTTATATGTGTAGTTAGGTTTGAGGAAAGACTAAAGGCTTTCCCACATTCCTTACATTCATAAGGTCTCTCTCCGGTGTGAATTCTCACGTGTACAGTGAGGTCTGAGGACTGACTAAAGGCTTTCCCACATTCCTTACATACGTAAGGCCTCTCTCCACTATGAGTCCTTATATGTGCAGTGAGGTTTGAGGACTGTCTAAAGGCTTTCCCACATTCCTTACATACATAAGGCCTCTCACCACTGTGAATTCTCATATGTATAGTGAGGTTTGAGGAATGATGAAAGCCTTTGCCGCATTCTTTACACTGATAGGATTTCTCTCCAGTACGAGTTCCCACAGCAGTGCTGAGGTAAGAGGGACAACTGCAGGCTTCTCCACATTCCTTACACTGATAGGCACTGCATCCAGAGTGAGATTTCATATGATGCTTAAATGATGAATGATTCATCAAGGATTTTCCACACTCAAGGCATTCAGAAGGATATGCTTCCATAGGAGTTCTTTTTAGCACAGAAAGTTTTGGAATCTGAATGAAGGTCTGTCCACAACGATTGTCTTCATCACTTTCAAAGAGATTCTCTAAAATATAACTTCTGTTCAAAATAGGCAGCATATAAATTTGTTACAATTTCACCATTACCATACACATTAAAAATGTATTTTGCCCTGAATTATTTCATAAATTAAATCATCTAGCAGACATGCTACCATTTTTACTGTGTTTCTAAAATACAGTGCTCTTTAACAATTGTATTTAAGTGAAATATTTCAAATATTAAATATCTGATATTTATGAAAATACTGTACTGTGAAAATTCTGTGAAAACAGAATTACAGCTGGTTTTATATACACATGTAAGATACGTGGATAGCACAATAGTTTGTAGTGCCATATGGCTGTTTCTCCCACAGAGCCACTGGATAGGCTTGAATTGTCAATCTTTTGGTTAGCAATCGAGTGCTTAACTATTTGTCCCACCAGTGCTCCTTAGGCATATAAATATTTTAATGTCATCATACCTTCTTAAGACTCTCTTCTGAAGCAATGCTGTCTCTCACATAAGTGACACTCACCTCACATGTGTTTTCTGGTTTTTATCCTGATCTTCAGTGCCATGCAATTCACGCATTTCTCCTACCATCGAGGAACAGGTGTCATTTTTCATGAATCGTACTGTTTTATTTTCAGTGGATAGCTTTTCCTCATCAACAGGGTTTCGAGAAGCTGACCCAATGATTTAAGATGAGGTTCACAACATGAAACAAAAAGGAGAGAAAATACTCAGAAGGAAAAGATAGTTGTGAGTAAAGAAAGCTTGTGATGCATTTTGCTGTTTCTGTACTTTGGCAATGTTGAGAAAGCAATTTACTAGAAAATACTTCCATGAAGACTGAGAATGATGGTGACATAAACAGGGTGTAATTAGAAGAGTAAATCAGAAAAGTATTGGACACAATGCACACAGAACATTATAAGAGGAAAAGGGGAGTCTTTCTCCATGAACCAGGTGTGTTAGGATTGATGAAAGTCAGAAAAGCAAGCTCAGGTATCTGTGAAGCACATACTCCTCAACCCAAAAGAGACTTTTTCTGATTTTTTCAAATCTCATTCCCTCCATGCACGCCCAGTCCTTCAAACGATTCTTGTCTCCTGGTGCCCCCGACACAGTGGTCCTGCACAAGTGCTATCTGCACTCTCCTCAGGTCTTCCTCTTGCTACTCTGGGAGAACAAATGTGTACAGATGACGTGGTGACCATGGAGAAAGGCTTATCATTAGGGAAGACAAGGAGGAGCAATGAACACTTCCCTGACACTGAGCCAGTACTTTGGTCCTCAGGCTCTCTGCTGATTGGCAGGTGTGAATTGATTTGCAGCAAAATAATCATGTCAAATTTGTAATAAAGACTGTTTACAACTCAAAGAGCCTTAAGGCTTTTAATCACAATGGAAATGAGAATTCATTTTAATACAAAGAGCTCTGTATTCATGGGAAACCAACATATGCATGTTCCAGAGAGCAAGTGACCATACTTGTCTTACTTAATAATGTTTCCCCATTCCTTGGCCCACATAGTGGAGTAATATCAACGGCAATGACATATTTGCTCACAAAAAATTTAAAAAAATTGAAAACGAACAACTATGGCTGCTAACCAAAAGGTCGGCAGTTCGAATCCACCACGCAATCTTTGGAAAACCTATGGGGCAGTTCTGCTCTGTCCTACAGGGTCGCTATGAGTCAGAATCGACTTGACAGCAATGGTTTTTTTTTTTTTTTTTTTGGTCAATCCATACCTACTGAGGCCAGGCTTCTGAAGATCTCCATCATCACATCTCTGTAGAGTTGCCTCTGAGAAACATCCAGCAATGCCCACTCTTCCTGGGTAAAGTCCACAGCCACATCCTCAACAGCCACTGAGTCCTAAAAATTCCCACATATTCTGATTCAGCAAGTGTCTTGGTTATCTAGTGCTGCTATAACAGAAATACCACAAGTGGATGGTTTTTAACAAAGAGAAATTTCTTTCCTCCCAGTCAAAGTAGGCTACAAGTCCAAATTCAGCGCGTCAGCTCCAGGGGAAGGCTTTTTCTGTCAGACTTCTTCTCTTCGGTGCTCCCGACTAGGAGCTTTTCTGCGCAGGGACCCAGGTCCAGGGGACGCACTCTGCTCCCAACACTGCTTTCTGGATGGTATGAGGTCCCCCAATTCTCTGCTTGCTTCCCTTTCTATCTCTTGGGAGAGAAAAGGTGGTGCAGGCCACACCCCAGAGAAACTCCCTTTACATTGGATCAGAGATGTGACCTGGGTAAAGGTGGTGTTACAATCCCACCCTAATCCTGTTTAACATAAAATTACAATCACAAAATAGAGGCCAACCACACAATTCTGTGAATCATGGCCCAGCCAAATTCATACACACATATTTTGGGGGACATAATTCAAACCATGACAGCAAGGTACCATGTACACCAATGTGTGTGAAAGGAAGTGTGAGGCTGACAGTCCCAGGGAGCTGACATTTCATGGGGATTTGACACAGGTTTTGTGTTCTACTAAGGTCTACTCTAGGGGTTAGCCATCAGCCTCATCCCTTCATTGTCTACATTCACTTCCTCAGGAAAGCATCCTGGCTCAAAGACTTAACAATACTTCCAACACAATGAACTTATCTCTTCACAGTCTGACTGTGACCAGCTGTAGTCTCATTCCTCTCTACCTTTATGGCCTAGAACACTCAGAACACATAGCATCAACTGGAGAAATGGTCTACAGTGAAAGCGCTATTTCCACATTCAGATCATGTCTTCCTTTTGAAAAGAAAAAGTTCACTTTCTTGCACAGTACCCAGCAGAATATTTAACAAAACATGAAGGAGCAATCTTTGATCCAGTGCCACATTAAGAAGTCTCCTCCACTGCAGTGCAGCAAGTATTTTTTTATTTTTGTTGTAGTTTAAATGAACTTTACATTTCAAGTTAGTCTCCCATACAAAAATTTATACATACATTGTTATGTGACCCTAATTGCTCTCCCGTTACTGTGACAGCACACTCCTATCCACCCGATTCCTCATGTCCATTCAACCAGTTTCCAACCCTCTCTGCCTTCCCATCTCACATTCGGACAGAAGCTGTACGATTAGTCCCTTGAATCTACTTGAGCTAGGAAGCACATTCCTCATGAGTATCACTTTAGGTCCCGCTGTCCAGTCCAATCCCTGTCTGAAGAGTTGGCCTAGGAAATTGTTTCAGTTCTGAAATGACAGAGAATCCAGAGGCCATGCTTTCCAGGGTTCCTCCAGTCTCTTTCAGACCATTAAGTCTGTTCTTCTAACCAGAATTTGAGTTCTGCACCCCACGTTTCTCCTGCTCCACCAGGGACTCTCTGTTGTGTTCACTATCAGGGCTGTCACTGGTGGTAGCCGGGCACCATTTAGCTCTTCTGGTCTCAGCCTGATGAAGTCTCTGATTTGGCCTTTTCTGTATCTTGGGCCAATACTTTCCTTGTGACTTTGGTGTTCTTCATTCTCCATTACTCCAGGTGGTTGGGACCAATTGATGCATCTTAGATGGCCACTTGCGAACTTTTAAGACTCCAGATGCCACCAACCAAAGTAGGATGCATAACATTTTCTTAATAAGCTTTGTTATGCCAATTGATCCAGATGTCCCCTGAAAGCATGGCCCCCAGATCCCTACCCCTGCTACTCTATCCCTCAAGGTGTTTGATTCTATTTGGGAAACTTCTTAGCTTTGCTATAGTCCAGTTATGCTGACTTCCCCTGTAGTGCGTGCTGTCCTTTTATCTAATACTTGTCTACTATCTAGTTAGTGAATAACCCTCGCCCTCCCTCCTCACCCTCATAACCCTCAAAGAATGTTTTCTTCTGTGTTTAAACCTTTCCTTGAGTTCTTATAATAGTGGTTTTATACAGTATTTGTCCTTCTCTGACTGACTCAATTCACTCAGCATAATGCCCTTCAGAATCCTTCATGTTATGTTTTATGGCTTCATCGTTCTTTATTGTTGCATAGTATTCCATTCTGTGGATATACCATATTTTGTTTATTTCCATTGATGGGCACCTAGGTTGCTTCCATCTTTTTGCTATTGTGAACAGTGCTGCAATGAACATGGGGGTGCATTTGTGTGACAGCTCTTATTTCTCTAGGATATATTCCAAGGAGCCGGATAGCTGGACCGTATGGTACTCCTATTTCTAGCTTTTTAAGGAAGTGCCAAATCGATTTCCAAAATGGTTGTACCATTTTACATTCCCACCAACAGTGTGTCAGTGTTCCAGTCTCTCCACAACCTCTCCAGCATTTATAATTTTGTGTTTTTTTGGATGAATGCTAGCCTTGTTGGGGTGAGATGATATCTCAGTGTAGTTTTGATCTGCATTTCTCTAATGGCTAATGACCGTGAGCACTTCTTCATGTGTCTGTTAGCCGCCTGAATATCTTCTTTGGCGGAGTGCCTGTTCATATCCTTTGCCCATTTTTTCACTGCATTATTTATCTTTCTGTTGTTGAGGTTTGGCAGTACCTTGTAAATTTTAGAGATTAGACACTGATCAGATCTGTCATAGCCAAAATTTTTTTCCCAGTCTGTAGGTTGTCTTTTGACTCTTTTGGTGAAGTCTTTTGATGAGCATAAGTGTTTGATTTTAGGAGCTGCCAGTTATCTAGTCTCTCTTCTCGTGCTTGAGCATTATTTATGGTTCGTATTGTGTTTATGCCATGTAGTAGGGATCCTAGCATTGTCCCTGTTTTCTGCCATCTTTATCACTTTCGATTTTATATTTAAGTCTTTGATCCATTTTGAGTTAGGTTTTGTGCATGGTGTGAGGTATGGGTCTTGTTTCAGTTTTTTGCAGATGGATATCCAGTTATGCCAGCACCATTTGTTACAGAGACTGTCTTTAACCCAGTTAACAGACTCTGGGCCTTTGTCAAATATCAGCTGCTCATAGGTGGATGAATTTACATCTGGATTCTCAACTCTGTTCCATTGATCTATGTATCTGTTGTTGTACCACTACCAGGCTGTTCTGACTACCTTGGCAGTATACTAGGTTCTAAAATCAGGTATTGTGAGGCCTCCAACTTTGCTCTTCTTGAGTAACACTTTATTATAAGGGGCCTCTTCCCTTTCCATATGAAGTTGATAATTTGTTTCTCCATCTCATTAAAAAAAGTCATTGGAATTTGCATCAGGATTGCATTGTATCTGGAGATCGCTTTGGGTAGAACTGACATTTTCAAAATGTTGAGTCTTCCTATCCATAAGCAAAGTATGTTTTTCCACTGAGGCAGGTCTCTTTGGGTTTCTTGCAGTAGTGTCTTGTAGTTTTCATTGTATAGGTCTTTTACATCTCTGGTTAGATTTATTCCTATTTTATTTTCTCGGCTACGGTAAAGGTATTGATTTGGTGATTTTCTCTTGGAAGTTGTCTTTGTTGGTGTAGAGGAATCCAAATGATTTTTGTATGTTTATCTTGTGTCTTGACACTTTGCTGAAATCTTCTATTAGTTCCAATAGTTTTCTTGTACATTCTTTGGGGTTTTCTATGTATAAGATCGTATCATCTGCAAATAGAGATACTTTGACTTCTTCCCTACAAATTTTTAGGCCATCTATTTTTATAGGCTAATTGCCCTGGCTAGGACCTCCAGCACAATGTTGAGTAAGAGTGGTGATAGACGGCATCCTTGTCTGGGTCCTGTTCTCAAGGGGAATGCTTTCAAAGTCTCTCCATTTAGGATGATGTTGGCTGTTGGCTTTGTATAAATACCCTGATTTATGTTGAGGAATTTCCCTTCTATTCCTATTTTGTTGAGTTTTTATCATGAATGGGTGTTGGACTTTCTCAAATGCCTTTTTTGCATCAATTGATAAGATCATGTGGTTCTTTTTACTTATGTGATGCATTACACTGATAGTTTTTCTAATGTTGAACCATACCTGCATACCTGGTATAAATCCCAGTTGATCATGGAGAATTAGTTTTTTGATATGTTGCTGAATTCTATTGGCTAGAATTTTGTTGAGGATTTTTGCCACAATGTTTACGAGGGATAGTGGTCTTTAATTTTCTTTTTTTGTGGTGTCTTTACCTGGTTTTGGTATCAGGGTTATGCTGGCTTCATAGAATGAGTTTGGGAATATTTCATCATTCTCTATGCTCTGAAATATCTTTAGTAGTGGTGTTAACTCTTCTCTGAAAGTTTGGTAGAATTCTCCAGTGAAGCCATCCGGGCCAGG